TCGGTCCTTGGGCCCGCACTGTTTAACATCTTCATCAGTGACTTGGACGAGGGGGTGGAAAGCACGCTGTCCAAGTTTGCTGATGACACTAAGATGTGGGGCGAGGTGGGCACACTTGAAGGGAGAGAGAGGCTGCAACTAGATTTAGACAGACTACAACAGTGGGCAGATGAGAATAGGATGGAGTTCAACGTAGACAAATGCAGGGTGCTGCACCTCGGGAGAAGGAATCCACAGCATACATACAGGCTGGGGAGCTCCCCTCGTGAAAGCACAGAGGCGGAAAGGGATCTCAGAGTCATTACTGACTCCAAGATGAACACGAGCTGCCAATGCCAGACCGCAGCCAGCAAGGCCGGCCGTACCTTGTCATGCATCCAAAGATGCATCTCAAGCCAGTCCAGAGAGGTGATCCTCCCCCTCTATGCGACTTTGGTCAGGCCGCAATTGGAGTACTGCGTCCAGTACTGGGCGCCTCACTTTAAAAGGGATGTGGCCAGCCTGGAGAGGGTTCAGAGGAAGGCCACCTGCTTGTTGATAGGGCAGCAGGACAGGCCCTACAAGGAGAGACTGAGGGACCTGAACCTGTTCAGCCTTGGCAAGAGGAGACCGAGGGAGGACCTGGTGGCTGCCTAGAAACTCATCAGGGGAGTTCATCAGCAAATAGGAAGAACCCTATTCTCCCCAGCACCACCTGGGGTGACAAGGAACAATGGTTATAAGCTGATGGAGAATAGGTTTAGGTTAGAGATCAGAAGGCAATATTTTAGTTAGGGTGGCCAGAATCTGGAACCAACTTCCTAGGGAAGTGGTCCTTGCCCCTACCTTGGGTATATTCAAAAAGAAGTTAGATGATCACCTATCTGGGGTCTTGTGAACCCAGCATTCATTTCTGCCTGTGGCAGGGGGTCAGGCTAGATGATCTGTTCAGGTCCCTCCTGACCCTAGCTACTATGAAACTATGACACTGGGATTCATGCATGCTCCCCATCGTTTTCAACGAGATGGCAGGAGAATGTTTCTGACCAGCAATAGCAGCACAAGGCAACCCAACCAGCCTGGGGAACACAGGGCTCTCTTCCAAGCCAGGAGTGGCAGGACTTGCACAGTTCTGCCAGGTGAATGCTGTGCCTGAGTCCTACATGTTGCTTACCTTGGCTGTTGCTGCCCTCTCCTTCCCTCCATGAACACAGGTACAGCCTTTCTTAAGCACCTCTCACTGCTACCTGGCCATCTTTTAAAGCAGTGGTTCTCAACCTTTTTCACACTAGGACCCCCACCATCCTGGTCCCTGACCCACAGTCTCTCCCTCCGTCCCCTTCCCCTCCAGCTGCTGCATCTGGCCCCTTCCCCCTCCTGCTCCTTTACGCTGGCCCCAGGCAGCCTTGCAGCATTTCCCTCAGACCTCGCTGTGACCCTTTAAAATCTTGTGACAGGGACCTCTCTGCTCCCACTGACTCTTGGTGTAGGCAATGGGGAGGAAGGTGTGGAGCCTCTTCCTGCCCTCCCGTCTTGGAGGCACAGGGCTCAGTACCCACTACCCAACCAGTGAGCAGAGCTAGGGTATAAAGATGGACGTGGCAGTGAGCAGAGACTGTTCAGCACTGGACCTGAGGATGAGGACGGAGCTGAGCTGAGCACAGTTGCATTCTTGTTGCCTGGGCAAATGGGGAATGTCGTGCCTGCTGGGAAGGGTCCAGTGGACAGCCTGGCCTGTTGTCCATATTTTTTCTGTGGGTGGAGCCAGTTGTGTGTTGTCCTGCAGGCAGCTGGGTTGAGGACAGGCTCTGGCACGGCACTGCTGAGAGTGTTTTGGCAAAGGTGAGGCTCAGCAAGGCTTCCCCACACCTCCTTAGTGTCACAGTGCTTGGCTCTTTAGTGTCACGATGCTGTTTTGGTTTCTGAATTCCTCCATTTCCTGTTTTTACTAACAGCTCGCTATGACGGGCCTTGGCCAAGGAGACTGCGGCCAGTCTGTGATCAGAACCTCACAGGAGAGCGCGGGCACAGAAATAACATGCAGCTACGGTTCCCTTGATGATTACTCTTGAAATGCAAAAGGCAGGTCCTGTTACAATGCCTGTAATTATGGCCACCCAGTCAGCTAAGAGGCAGGAGACCAAGCTGCAGCCTGAGCTTGCCTGTCATCCTGCAAAGGTCCCCCATGCCGCATTGCAGCACCATGCGTGTTCTCCTCAGCTGGGTGGGAGGTGGTGGGTCTGACTGGCAGCAGGTTTGGAATTGATGCAGTTTCTCTCACCTTTGCCTTCTGGCCACCCCCTCCTGCAGACACCTGATGCAAAAGTCTGTGGTAGGAGCCAGATGCCAACACCTGGGGGTTGGGTTTATAGCCCTGTTCTGGGTAATTTGGTCTGGGCCAGGTGCTCTTCCTTGGCTGAGTGGTTTGTGTGTCTCAGCTGCAGAGGTTTTGGGGGTTATGGCATTAGCGCCAAGCCTGGGAAAGGACCTGTGCTGGAAACAAGCGCCCGTACCGCACTGTCCCGGAACAAGATTTTGTGCAGCTTGCTGCAGAACGGGGCACTTGCTGTGGTGATGCCTGATGCCCACTAGAGCTTCCTAGGAGGAGCTAGGACCTGCCGGGGGGGGGGACACAACACGGACGGGTGTCCTGTTCCTGCTGCCCTGGAGGACTGCGCAGCCCAGCAGCTGTGGGACCGGGTACCTGCCCGAGGCTGCGGTGTGCTGCCTGGTGCTGGGGCCCCTGCCTGGTGCTGAAGACGGCAGTGGCGGGCGGGGAGGGCAGAGCTTGTAGTCTCGGTCTCTCCGCCCGGACCGGGGGCAGAACCAGACCCAGAGCGCACTACCCCTGCGGCCGGGCCGGGGTGCGCGGTGCGGGCGGAGGGCGGCTGGCAGGAGCCGGGGGCGGGTGGGGCCTGACGCGGCGGGATACCGGTGCTGCGGAGCTCTTCCTGGGGGGGCCTGGGCGGGACCCGCTGGGCCGCCCTCAGGCTTCGGCGCGGCAGCGGGAAACCGGAGAAGCCCCGTGCGGAGTCACCCTCCCTGCGGCCTCTGGGCTCCTGTCTCATGAAAAGCCGGGGGCGGGACGGCGCGTCACGTGACCGGAAGGGGCGGGGCGGGGTCAGGGCTCGGGCTAGGGTTGGGTTCGGGTTCGTGTGTTGTTGTCTTGGTGTTTTCTGTTGTGTGCCTTTTTTAGTCTGTGCTCTGTGCATGTGTTGTTGCATGATTAGCCTTTCACTTTTCTTGGGTTGTTATGTTTGTGGGTTTTTTAGTCCTGTGTAGTGTGGGTAATGGATATTGTTACCTAGTAAATTTAAATATGCTACATTATATGTTTGTAACTGTAATGCCTTAAGTGTTTTGTTTTTGTGTTTGTAATGTTTTTAGTGTAGTGTAGTGTAGGTTTGTCATTTTGTAGTGTAAGATGTGTGTATACTGCTTGATTGTGTTTCCCTTTCAGGTTTTTTTGTGTCTTTGCCTTGCCCGAATTTTTTGCTCCAAAAAAATATTTTTAATTTTTTTTAATTTTTTTGGAGCAAACCCAGGCAAAACACAGCCTAAGTCCAGTAAAGAAGCGCAGCATAGAGGTGAGTGGAGCTTTTCCTCTTTGTGCCTCTGTGTGTGGTGGTATCTTTCTTGGCGACAGTTCAACTTCTTTTCCATTTCAAATCTGTTTATTTTTTAATGTCACTGAATAACAAAAGAAAAACCAAAACACAGAACTTGTCTTTCACATCAGCATTACATTTATTAAATGAACACACACAAGTACACAGGATTTCATCTTAAATGTTTTTATTTTTTATTACATACAATTTGGGCAGTGAAAACACCCATAAAAATGTACAAAGCCATAGAACACCTCACTTCACACACACATTACACAACAAAATGAGAAACAGCTGACACTATACAATACTACATAATATTTTTTGCTCTTGTTTGGCTTTGACAGGTGACAAACACTTGATACAGAACAATTACAAACATAATTGTATTACACAAGGTTATTACACATGTACTATATTTAACCCCAAAAGACATTCATTCAAGTACAAAAATAGCACCGCACCAAAAGTGAAACATTAAAAAGCTGCAAGACAATAACAAAGGAGACACCAACACACAAAAATCTCAGGACACCACCAGACACAACCAAAGCACACCACACCAAACCAACCACACACCAACAACCCTACACAGCCCACCAAACACAAGCACAAAAAAAACACTGCTGCCAAGCCATAGGCACCAAAAACCACTACATTGCCAGCCACATGTACAAAACACCACCTGCATCAACCTCCAAAGGCCAGCTACACTGCACAACACCTCCAAAACCACAAAATTCAAACCTCACCACAACTCAACCCACAACACCACCACTAAACAGAAGCCAACACCAAAACAGAAACTACAAGAGGCCAAGGCCACCGAGACTACATCGCAAACCACAAGAAAAGCTGCACAGTAACCAACCAACAAAATAACACCACCACTATAACCAACCACAGACCTGACTAACACCATCACCAACCACCAGCACACACCCAAACAATACGCACAGCATCTACACACAACACAACAAGACACAAACACCAGACCCGCACCAAAACACCCACAGTCATGTCCCCTCCACCACACACACAACAACTCTCCAAAAAGTTTATCTTTATTGCACAGCGAAACGTTGCAGCAAGACATCTGCTCCTCTTCCAACAGCCACCTGCAAGACATCAAACCCAGCAGTCAGGAACCCAACATGTTCTCTCTCCCAAAAAACCCACCTCCCTCTCCACTCACCACCACAGCACCCACCACCACACCCCCCTCCAGCCCCACAGCCCAAAAAACTTGCCTCCAACACTGGCCCTGAACTGCGCCTGCTCAGCAGGCGGCATGGCTTTCCTGTCCTCCACATCCCCCTAGGGGGGGCAAAAATTGAACGCCCCCCTAGGGGGGGAGGGCAGGAAAGCCACGCCTTTTCCCAACTACTGCTGCTGCTACACCACCACAAGCAAAACAACACAAACATCACCCCAGCCCACACCCCCTCTGCAGCACCCTCAACACCCACCCCACCTCAAGCAATATACACAGCATCGACACACAACACACAAAAGACAACACAACAAAACACAAACACCACACCCGCACCAAAACACCCACATTCAGGTCCCCTCCACCACACACACAAGTAGTCTCCAAACAGTTTATTGCACGCCAAAGCGTCGCAGCAAGACATCTGCTCCTCTTCCAGCAGCCACCTGCAAATCATCAAAGCCACCAGTCAGCAGCCCAAAATGTCTTCCGTCCCAAAAAGCACCCTCAACACCCACCCCACCTCAATCATACCGCAAACATTACACCAAAGACACCAATCACCACAGCACCTCCATCTCAAACAACTCACCATGCCCCACACCCATACACCTACACTCCACCCACAGCCAAACAGCATACACTACAAGTGCATACCACAGGGACACCCCAAAGCCCTACCAAACCACCCCCCCAAACACCCACCCACCCATTCCGCTGCCATCCACACAACGCGCTGGCTCAGCTACTCCAATGCCCAACCGACAAACCACCAGCCACATGTGCCACTCTGCCCCCGGCCCCAACAACCAGCATGCAGCAACTCATCTCCACCTGCTACAAAACAACACAGCTCAGAAAACATCCACACCGCACCCTCCAACCAGATGCACACCTCATCACATCCATCACACAAACAATAACTTGAACCCTCACCCAACCACCTGCACCTCACAATGCACCCACCAACCTAACCTCCCTTTCTGTACGCCCCCCCCTTGCAAAAAGCACAACAAACAACCCCCCCAACACCCCATTCCAACAACAGCACCACACCACACACTTTGCTAACTCTCACAACAAGCCACACAGATCAAAACACTCCCAGCCCACAATGCACACTCCAGTCAGAATACAGATACCTGACCCGCCCTCCGCCCCCACCATGCAACAGAGAAAGCACAACTTACCTATTCAACAATCGCACAGGACTGCTCCAAGCGCACACAGCACCCATCGCCTCCTCACCAAACTGGCACAGGCTGCGACACAACACACACATTCCACCCCCCCCCCCCCCCCAACCCAGAAATAAACAAAACAATCACACTAAGAAACATCCACACCTCCCAACTCCACCCACAACCCACCCAACTACACCCATCCCCAACCCCTAAACAACACAACACCATCCGCACAACACCCAAGGCAACCACACACGACGTACTGCAACCCAAACCACCCTTTTCCACAACACTGTCGAAAAAGCAAATTCATCACGCTGCATAAGAGGCTTGGTTTCAATTCTGCGAAGCAGGACACAGGCACTGCTGCACCTGCAGCAAAAGCCTACAAGACAGAGCACACCACCAACACCCGTGTCCCCTCCACCACCGAAAACAAAGACAAAACACAAACAGAACACAAAAGACACAACTCCCAGAACCAAAAACAAACCTCCGCAGCACCAACAAGCCAAACAGGCAAAATTGTAAACTGCCTCCCCTAGCCTCAACACACAACAAACTGACCAAAGTCCCACGCCCCACCACACACACACAGACACCCCTATAGCCCCCCCCAACAATCCAACACATCAAACCTTGAAAGCCATGCCCACTGCACTCCAAATACATGCAACCACAAAGTACCAGCCAAAACAATGCCATAACCTCAACATCACACCCACCATCCACCAACCACCCAGGCCCAACAGCCCCCACCTCTCCAAACCATACCTTGCTTCCACAACACCGGACAGCATCTCCTTCTCAGCCCCTACGACATCAACTGGCCAACCTGCAAGCCACATCTGCGACGCCTCTTCCTCGGTGCCCCAACACCCAGCATGCAGGAACTCACCTCCACCTGCTACAAAGCAACACACTTCTAGCAAACCGCCACCCCTGCCATCCACACCCACCACCACTCTCCACCTCCCAACACTTCAAACCCCACCCACGGCCACCACAAAAACCATACTCACCAGTCCACGGAAATCCACACAACCGACCAGCTCAGCTACTCCAATGCACAGCCAACAACCTTCAAGCCACATCTCCCACTCCTCTTCCGCTCTGCCCAACAACCAGCAGCAAGCAACTCACCTCCACCACCTACAAAAGAAGACACTTCACAAAACCCCCACCCCTGCACACCACCACACCACACCCTCCAACCACACCCACACCTGATCACTCAAACAATGACTTTGAACCCTCACTCCACCACCTGCACTTCACACCCCATCCACTAACCTAACCTCCCTTCCCGTACACTCCCCTTGCAAACAGCACGGCAACAAACCCCCCTCCCACACCCCATTCAAACAACCACCCCACACCACCATGCCACACACGACACCAACCATCCAAACAACCCACACAAACAAAAACACACCCAGAGCACAACCCACACGCCATTCAACATACAAATACCACCCCGAAGCAGTCTCTAACGTCCAACTCCATACACCCGACCCCCAGCACACCACACTCACCACCAGCCACCACGCAACACAAAAGGCACCCCTTACGTATTCTACAACCTCACAACATACCTCCAAACGCAGATGGCAACCATCTCCTCCTTACCAAACTGACACACGCTCCAACACAACAGACACATTACATCCCCCCCACCCCCCAACCAGACACAAACAAAACCATCACCCCAATAAACATCCACACCTCCCAAGTCCACCCACACCCCACCAAACTACACCCCCCCCTCCCCCTAACACCAAGGGCCACACCCCACCAAACTATACCCCCCCCTCTCCTTAACACCAAGCCTCCCTCCCCACAACACCCAACACAAGCACACACAAACTACTGCAACCCCAGGGACCCTTTCACACTACACTGTCCAAAAAGAAAAGTAATCATGCCACATAAAAGGCTCAGTTTCAGTTCTGGGAGGCAGCACACAGGCACCGCTGCACCCGCAGCCAACGCCTACAACACACACCAAACC